TTCCCCTGGCCTTGCACCGCCCCCAGCCTCAGGGACCGACCCCCCCCCAACATTCCCCCTGGCCTTGCACCGCCCCCAGCCTCAGGGATCGCCCCCCCCCCAACATTCCCCTGACCTTGCACCGCCCCCAGCCTCAGGGACCGACACACACACCCCCCGCAGCATTGCAACGTCCCCAGCCACAAGGACCGAGTGACCCCTGTTTGTTGCCCTGGTATTACACCAACCCCCCCACGTTACAGGGACAGAGCCCTGCCTCTTCCCCCACGTATTACACACACACACACCCAACACACACACGGCTACAAGGACACGCATAGACTCCTTGGGCCTTTACAGTAAGAAGTCAATGCTCATCCCTGCTTTGCAGAGCCCCGGGCCCTCCCCCACAACTCACTGCTGCAGAGACACCCCCATTTCTTCCCCCTTCCACTACAGCATGACACAAACACCTCCCCAGAGCCACCCTACAGAGACCCTGTAGCTTGAGACCCTGATTTTTTTCTTGCCTTCCTTTTCCATTCAATTCGCCCTAGCAATTCACAGCCCCCCGCTGCTTCCCAAGCCCCATCCCACAAGATGCACCGTGATCAGGGACAGCCCACCCCTAAATCCCACATCTAGCCCCCCCTTCCTTACATACACGCTACTCCAGAAACACCCCCACAAGCCAGGGCTGCAAAGAACCCCCCTTTCCCTCTCCCTGTGTCCTCCCACCGTGCACCTCTGATATTATTATACAGCACGGGATGCCAACTGTTAACACCCCCTCCAGCACAGTGAACACACAGGATCACTTCTGCACAGGCCTTTCCTGTTGTCGGCACTTTGCTGCTTGGTGGTTGTTTTGAAGCCAGTACAACCACTTTCCTAGGCCTCTTAAGAAAGCTAGAAGACTTTGCAACACTAATCTCCCCCCCCCCCACCACACACACATTGCTATTGTCTTTGCACCCTTTTTATGCATGTGTGCACCACCCATTTCAAGAGCAATGGCAGGTACCTAACATGTATTTGTTCCTTATTATAATTTTTCCTTTTATCCCTTTATCAGCAAGTTGGCTCTGGTTTTATTTTGCAAGGCACAGTCTCTCGGGGGCGTAGGGTTTACCATATCAGATCCCAGCATTGATTCCCGCTAGTCTGGCATTCTGCCTCCAGCAAGGCTCCCACTGACACACCAGCGCTGGCTAATTGTTCGATGCTGTAGATAGCAGCTTGGGAGCAAATTCCTCCTTGAGCTCTGGGGTGATTGTCTCCAGCTTTGAAACATGGGATTTGTTTACCCGTATCTTAGCAGGCATAAGATATGAAAGGACCCAGGACAGCTTTGAGTGTGTGGGTATAAGTCTTTGTAGGTTTACAGCTCAACTGCTGATTGTGATGTTCACACAGAGGGGAGAGGGCTATATAATGTGCAGAGAAGCGGAGGGCACATTTAGAACGGATAAAAGGAACTGCAGTTTCTTTTTTTGCAAAATGCAACCAACCTGTGGAACTCTGTGCCACAAGATACTTATTGAGACAAATAGCTTATTCAGACTGGATTCTGACTCGGTAGCAATTAGAATAACAACACTTGCTTTCAAATTAGCTAGGATAAAAGTCACACTCCTCATGCTTCAGAGCATATGTTGAGCACTGGGTCAGGAAGAAATTTTTCTCATCAATTGGATGCAACATGGTGGTAGCTGGTGCGTGCATGTGTGTGTGTGTGTGTGTGTGTGTGTGTGTGTGTGTGTGTAGAAGAGGTACTTAACTTAAA